CGTGTTCACATAGCTCGCGGCACCAAGGAATCCAACAGCCTTGCTTGAGAGCAGGAAGATAATGTCCCTTGGTAGGGTGTCGTTGAGGCCAGTGTTCCACATGCGCATCGCGGTGACCATCCCGTGCGCATTGCACGCCAGGAGAGGAGTCGTTACCCTAGCCTAGGGCACGGTTGACACCGAGGACCACCACGATGTTGTGCACTACTAAAATATTTGAATTCATGTGTATTATTGAAATTACTGAAGAATAAAATCACTATAATCTCGCTAAAGGTGCGGTGCCCAACAATCCAATGGCCATGGAGGTAAGTTGTTGTTGTCGAGTCGTGACCTCTTTAGCCGGAGGAAGACGGTGTTGGGAAGCTTGCCGATAATGTAGTTGTCCCGGAGGTCGACCTCCTTCAACCTTGCCAAGAAGGGAATGTCCCTTAGCAAGGTGTCGTTGCGGCGGGCGTCTCATGTGTAGATTGTGGTGACCCTCCCACGCTCATTGCAGATTATGGGCTAGCCTAGGGTCTGATCAGCTATTTTGCCGTCTCGGTTGAGTAAAGTACTCAAGCTAGAGAGAAAAATTGGGGGTGTTGACGGAAGCATTTGAAGATATGAGGGGGTCAAACATATTTTTTCACATGTAAGACCTCCAAAAAAAACTATTTCACATTTTCCCCAAATTTGGGGGGGGGAGGGGGGCAGTGCCCCCCTCGTGTTCACATAGCTCGCGGCACCAAGGAATCCAACAGCCTTGCTTGAGAGCAGGAAGACAATGTCCCTTGGTAGGGTGTCGTTGAGGCCAGTGTTCCACATGCGCATCGCGGTGACCACCCCGTGCGCATTGCACGCCAGAAGAGGAGTCGTTACCCTAGCCTAGGGCACGGTTGACACCGAGGACCACCACGATGTTGTGCACTACCAAAATATTTGAATTCATGTGTATTATTGAAATTACTGAAGAAAAAATCACTATAATCTCGCTAAAGGTGCGGTGCCCAACAATCCAGTGGCCATGGAGGTAAGTTGTTGTTGTCGAGTCGTGACCTCTTTAGCCGGAGGAAGACGGTGTTGGGAAGCTTGCCGATAATGTAGTTGTCCCGGAGGTCAACCTCCTTCAACCTTGCCAAGAAGGGAATGTCCCTTAGCAGGGTGCCATTGCGGCAGGCGTCTCATGTGCAGATTGTGGTGACCCTCCCACGCTCATTGCAGATTATGGGCTAGCCCAGGGTCCGATCAGCTATTTCACAGTCTCGGTTGAGTAAAGTACTCAAGCTAGAGAAAAAATTGGGGGTGTTGACCAAAACATTTGAAGATATGATGGGGCCAAATATATATTTCACTTGTAAGACCTCTAAAAATATTCCTTCCCATTTTCCCCAAATTGGGGAGGGGGCAGTGCCCCCCTGGTGCTCACATAGCTCGCGGCACCAAGGAATCCAACAGCTTCACCTGTTGTTGTCGGGCCACAGCCTCATCAGCCGAGGAAGACGGTGTTGGAAAGCTCACCGGTGATGGAGTTGTCCCGGAGGTCGAGCTCCTACAACCAGGGCAGGAAGGCAATGTCCCGACAGGGTGCCGTTCAGGCCAGCGTTCCGCACGCGAATCATGGTGACCCTCACTAAGATTTGTGCGACATTGTTTAATATAAAAAGTAAATCTTTTTTTTGAGAATATAGAGCAATACAACAAGAGAGGGGTCAATAATTACAGCTTTTTGTGTCGGGCAAGAGAGTGAGAGAGGAGAGAGGGGCGTTGCATGC